GCTCCCACCAAAGGGCGCCAACGCCCTTCGGTAACCTAACCCTGTAGCAAAGCCGACTGAAATATAACTCACTGTGTGCAGGACTCTGCGGAGTCGGGGGCGCGGGACGGATGGAAGGGCGGGGAGCAGGGTACAGTGGCTAGAAGTAAACTTACAGCCCTGCAGGGGCTTCCTTCACCTTTAAAAACTAGTCATACGTGGAAGGTTTAGAGCTGGAGGGGGAAGAGGAGGCGTGGGAAAAGGAACAAGTATTAAGCTTTTGCAGCGTGCCAGGCACTTTAGGAGGCCATCCAGTTCTGGGATTCTTAAGGTGGAATCTGAGAACTTGGCTTTTTTGAGGCATGAAGAAGCAACCTGTGCAAAGGAGCAGAGAGATGGAATGAACAATATGGACTAGATAGGTGAAAAGGGAAGAATTTGGAGCCAGTTTGGGAAAGGCTTTAAAGTTACGTTGGGGAGTTTGATCTTAGAGGTAGTGTAGAAACCAGAGGGTCTTCCTGACGCCAGGCCAGCACTCTGCCCTGTCCACAACGTACGAACCTTTCGTCAGATCACGGTTATCACCTTTCGGTTTGATGGTCACCCCTTTAAACATAATTCCAAAGTAGATACCCCGGGTAGTTGACTCTGCAGGTTCTGCCCGACTGGTCCAAGGGAGCATAGGGCTTTACCCTGGGATGTACAGTCCCATTCCATAATGCTTTTCTGTCTACATCTATGCATTCTAAACCTCCTCAGGGTTTTTGGAACTGTGGCCGAGGAAACAAGCCATATGGGAAACAATACCGTTACTGTGCAGTAATAATGTCTAATGTTTCTAGACCACTTTTTCACCTTTATTTTTTGTTAGTTAATTGATTTCCCTCTTGCTCTGTAGTTTTCACTTCCAGAAACAAGTTTTAAGGAACCACTGCAGGTTGTGATAACAGGCATTTTTTTCTCTTGCAGATTCACAAGTGTTAAAGAGGTTGTTGGTTTGGGAGCTTTCCACTTCTGGGTTTGTGGAAGATGACATGTTCTTTTCATCTTATCCTTGCATGGACTTTTGTCAAGACATACAAGGATGTGAACATGGTACACCAGTCTCTAGGAAGGCAGTGCTGACGGGATATGGTAGCAATTTGAAGCCTTGGAGTTGTTTCACATTATTGGGTGATTTTATCTATCTTGCATGCCCTGTGTCAGACTCTGTGCTACTTTAGTTTGATACTGTGTCATTGATACCACCTTTTAAAATCAGTAATCCAATTTGATACCCTGGGTAGATGACTCTCCAAGCTGTGTGTGGCATAAGGGAGTGTAGGGTCCTTAACTATAACATAGAATCAATCCTATTCCATGGTGTTGGGAAGCTGGGTATTGTCAATAGTCTTTGTACAATGACTGGAGACAAACCATGTGGAAAACAACTAATTTGAAGTAATTGCCTTAGCCATTCTCATATATTAAAAGGGAGCAAGATATACTGGACCATACGCTTGTTTTTTAGGTGAGATTTTTTTTTGCATCTATTGAGTTTTGCCTTAAGTTACTGGTTACTGGAGTGTTTTGCTGTTTCCTAAGCCAGATCTTATTCCCCTAAAATGGACTTTACAGGGATAATAGTAGTTGAGGGTGTTTCACTTGCCCCATATAACTTGTCAAACTTGGGGAAAATGAGGGAACCAATATAGATGATATAAAATCTGCAACAAGGTAACACTTAACTAGGAGTTAAAAATCTCTACGAGCCTTGTGTTACATAAATAACCTATTAAGGCATTACTGAATTATAAAGTAGCAGTACTTTTGAGGGGAATGCAACATCTATTGGAGATTGTTGAGCTGTTCTGTTGGCGTCCCTGATTACAGCTGGTACATTTTAGGATCTTAATACACAGAATAACTGGCCCAGGAGCCTTAGATTATTTACAGAGCATATTTTAAACTGGCAATCCTTAAAAGGTATTAAAAGATCAAAAATTTATTTTAGAAAATAAAGGGTCATTGGCCTGGACTTAGGGGTATCCTGTAATAGAAATGGGGTATTTTGATAGCCATCCAACATTTGGCCTGATAGTTCATAAACTGTCTGTTGCTTGAATGTTAGTTAACCAAAATAAAAGCATTTATTATAAAAATGGAATGACTTTATACTTTGAAGGAATCCTTATTAAGGGTTGGGAATAAAACTTGTTCATTTATTGATAAAATATTTTATCTTACAAAGATGCAAGTGCAGAGCCGACATGAACCCCATTTTTTTTTTTGATCCTCTTGAATATACACTACTACTTCAGGTTAATTAAAAGGATACTTGATTACTTCTGGTTCAGTTTTACAGAGGCAGAGAGGAAAAAAAAACAAGTTCGTTAAATAACAAAAATGCCTTGTAGACACCCAGATTAACCCAAATTCAGACAGCTGGATAAATGTGTTTCTGGGACCCAAATATATTCTGGCATTAGGTTTGTTGCAATTCAGTCTTAATTATCGTGAGAAGCAAGATAAACTGGTAAAAAATAAATGGGGGTTGGGGGGTGATGTGGAGCTTAAAATCTATAAGCCTTTGACACTAGCAGTCTTCAAACAGTTAACAGAGCTACCATGTAGAGAACGTTCCCCAGAAAGGCAGGATCAGGAGCAATGGGTGAAAGAGCAGCCACACCCGAGAATCTGTTGTATGACCTTCTGCTCCCTTTTGGGGCACTTACTACTGCTGCAGGAGGACTGAGGGCCATTTTGTATCCATGTGGGAGTGAGCCTGTACCATTCTACAAATGAAATACCTTACAGAAGTAAATGGACCTAGCAGCCATTGATAACTGTTACTTTCTGAGTTCTGATTCAAGTCAGACGTTAAGACAGAGTCCCAAAGTAAGTAGAGTCACAGACTGAACAACAAATACTTCACAAAAATGTGGGTGTACTAGTCTCTACATCCAGAGATATGTATGTTGATGCTTGGAGGTGGCAATGATTCCAAAAACAGTGAGCTAACATGACTCCCACATTTACTGCAGAGACAGGTGATGGACCTGATTTTAGGTGCAGAAAATACGGGTCACTAACCACAATGATGTACCTTAGATGAGGCCATGGGGGGGCAGTTTGGATAGAGGGAGGAAGGTAGGACAAAAGCAACCTTTTGATTTAGTTGCAAATGGACAACTGCTATAACATACTCAACAAATGGGTTTCCAGCCTCCATTCAAATATCTCCAAAAGTGGAGAACCTCTTCCTAATTACACTTTAGGAAAACTTCATTAGGAAGCTTTTCCTGACATCAATTCTGATGCAAAATTTGACACTTTGCAACATTTACCCACTGCTTTGTTTTGCTTTCTAGGGTAAAATGAAATAATCTTAAGAAAGAGGTTTTAGTATACATTTTGTTTTGGCAACAAATGCCATGGATCAAAAGTGGTATGACTGCTAATCAAGGGGTATCATCATCATTTGGTGAAAGCCTCACTGTTCTGTTCTATTGAGTCCAGACCTATTTGATATCTGTCCATCCATACTCTCAGCCATCACAGTATGGCAGAAGCTAGGGTCTCAGCAGTGGTGATGAAACAATATATTCTCTCCTCACCTTCGCCTTCTCCCTATATCAAGAAAGCAAGAAAAATAAATCCCAATACAAACAGGTATAGTCAAGCACAACAAATTTCCACGCTGGAAATATAACAAGTCCCAATATGCAGAGTAACTGTTCTCCTTAAGCCATCAGAAATGATGAAGACAAAGGGTTTTGTCTGTGCTCTAACTTGGTCTGTTCATAGATATGTTATTTGTATCCAACTAGGCAGACAGACAAGCCCACAGCACCACATAAGCAGAAAAATAACACCTGTTTCCCTGAGGAAGAAAAATGGAATCATGAAGAAGAGGAGAAAGTAAAACCAGGATCAGCATCTGCTTAGCTTGTAACAGGAGTCATTGACAAAAACAGAAGACAGAGTATCTGAAAAGTACTAGTTATCCACAACATAAAGATCTTTAAGCTTAATTACCTATAAAGGTAAATTTAACTGACTTTGCTACTGTCTAAAGCAGTGGTGTCAAAGCGAAGCAGAACTGGATCGCTGTCTGTGAGCCACATATTCACTTAGAAAGCCACTTGTTCCCATTAGGGTGTATTTTTATTTATCTTCTTAAGCCTTTCCCAAATATATGTTAATTTGGTTCTGATGCACCTGGGAATTCTGCAGGCCTGCTGGTCAGTTTGACACCTCTGGCTGAAACAATTCTGTCCCATTCTCTACAGCACTATTCATGGAGTAATGGTTATTTAGCTCTGTATATGTCTCTTATCCCTCTACAAATCTATAAACTCCATGAAAGAAGGGCCCACATTTTATCTAATCAATTCAACTATCAATAAGTGCCTGAGGTTATAAAGATGAACAATGATACAGAATATACAAAGTGCTCTATAAAATAAGGTAAGGACAATAAAGGTAACAAAAATATGTAAATAAATGCTTTAAAATAACAAAAATTAAAATAAGGTAAGCTTCTTTACCATAAAGGTCAGTCTATCCCTTGTGACCATTCCATACATAAACATATCCTGGGAAAGAAAGGAGGAAACATCATTCACCCTCAGAAAGCTCCCAGTCTAATGCAGATGTGCAGCCCACCATTGGATAATCACAATATTAATTATATCATGTATTAATATTAAAATGTTTAGAGAGGACCTTTATTGTCAATCACTGTGTAAATATGATTGGAAAGTGGTGGTCCCTGCTATCAAAGAACCCCCACTCCATTTGGGGTAAAAAATATAATTAATTTTACATGGCAAATTACTAACACTTGCTGGGTAAGTTGCAATCTGTGGCCATCACAGACAAAATCACAGATCATTGATGTAGTGACACAAAAATAAAGCACACTCTTAAAAACACTGAAGACCCACTGGTAATAGAAAGGAAAGGAGATTGGCCTTGCACAGCTTACAATGTGCTTGGGGAGATAAAGCAGAAACAAAGGATGGATTTGAGATATTTACAAAACAAGCTATGAATGATAACTTTAATGTCTTGTCCATTTTCCACTAGTGTGACCACACTATCCACACTCTCACACCTGATCTCCTGACGAATAAAGCAAACATTTTTAGGATTTTGGATGAAATAGGATTAGAGTTTTCATCAAAAAACAAGTTTTTTTCTTATACAATGGAAATCTTCTGTTCTCCATCATGAGCTCCACAATCTAAAAGACTGAGTGGACCAAAGGTGAGTGTTTCTCTCCAGAGTGAATTCTCTGATGATAGTTAAAAGTTGAACGCTGACTGAAGGCTTTCCCACATTCCTTACATTCATAGGGTTTCTCCCCAGTGTGGATTCTCTGATGCACAATTAGTTTTGAGCTTTTACTAAAAGCTTTTCCACAGTCATGACATTCATAAGGCTTCTCCCCAGTGTGGGTTCTCTTATGTACCAAAAGACTTGAGCTGTAACTGAAGACCTTGCCACATTCATTACATTCATAGGGTTTTTCTCCAGTATGAACTCTCTGATGAATAATAAGGTGTGAGTTCTGATTGAAGGATTTTCCACAATCACTGCATTTATAAGGTCTCTCTCCAGTATGAAGTCTCTGATGTCGAATAAGGCTCTTGCTCAGGCTAAATGCCTTGCCACACTCGCTACATGCAAAAGGTTTCTCTCCAGTGTGAATTCTCTCATGATCAATAAGGTGTGAGCTCCTATTGAAGTATTTGCCACATTCGTTACACTGATAAGACTTCTGTCCCCTTGGAATTTTCTCCTGTGTAACAGTGCTTGAGACAAGACTGAAACTCTTCCAAAAGTCTTTACATTTCTCTTCTCTCTCTTCAACAGGGACTTTCTTATTCTGCACTATCACTTCCATAAAATTACCATCACTTCTCCTAACTTCTTCCTCTGGGAGTGCTCCTTGTGGCTGCTCTAACATGCTTTCTCTTTCACGGCCTTCTCCTTTAGATGCCTGGAAAAGATCTTTCTGGAGGCCTTCTGATGAACTACTATGTGATTCTGATTCAACAAAAATTTCTTGCTTTAAAGTGGACTTTTCATTCTCAGTAACATTATCACCTTCTGGAAAATAGAAAATGCAACTGTCACCATTTACATTCTGGCAATAGGAACAGAAGCATATCATATAATATTAACATGCTCTAGGAACTCATGAATTCCATAGGTCTGAAAAGAGGATTTATATCGATAGTGTGAGCATGGAATGAGATGACCCAGCAGAAACAATGCAAAATAGGGCTGCAATTTGTTCAGAAATGGACAAAAATGACAGCCACAGGTATAGACAGTCAGCAATAGTGGGACAGAGGAAACTGCAGGGATTAGACGGAGACAGTGTGACGAAAGGGAAAAACACCCACCAAGATCAAAAACTTTGTCCACAAACAAAGTCAATGCAACTAAACTAGAATAACAAGAAAAGTTGGTCAATGTGGGAGTAGGAGGTATGTGGATACTTCCATCAAATATCTTGCTCACATAAATGATGATGATTATTGTAATACTAATACTAATAATGATAACATATAGCAATGACATAGTGCCTAGTATGTGTCAGGCACTATGTTAAGCATTTTACAAACATCTCATTTGACTCTCACATCTACCTCTCACCTGGGAGGTGGGTGCTATTTTTATCCCCATTTCTACAGCTGAGGAAACTGAGGCAAAGGTTAATCGACTTACCCAAAATAATGCAGTTAGCAGGTGTCTTGAGGCCAGATTGGAATTCAGGTCACCCTGATTCCAGGTCCAGAGGTCTATCTACTATGCCACCGAGTTGCTCAGTAAGTGTTTGAGTGAATTTATTCAGGGCCTACAATACGCTCAGCCCTGGGCTCAGTGCCCAGTTCTGTCCTACAGGAAATATGACACAGAAATGTCACGTGCTGACTGAAGAGTGCTACCTGATCCCATGGGCTGCTGATGTGCTGTGAGTCAGAAATCCTGGGTTCAAACCTCAGCTCTGGTGTGTATCACATGAAGCATCAAAATTGCCAGATGTGGAATCAGAGCACATGGATTTAAATTCTGCTCCATTCCTATCTGAATGACCTTGGGCAGATCACTTAATCTCTCAAGTTTTCTCATCTACAAAATGAGGAGGTTTTATTGACCTCTAAAGTCCTTTCTGTTATAGATCTATGATCCTAAGGTCTCTAATAAAAGCCTGATATCCTAGATATATTGGGAATTGACGCAAATATATGACTAAGAGCCACTGCCCCAAAAATAAGTGGTTAAGGGATCTGAACAAATCTTTTCAAAGGAAAACTGTAAACTATCAACAACTGTATTTTTGAGATGCTATAAATCACTATTAGAAAAATGCAAATGAAAACCACTCTGAGGCTTCACCTCATACCCATCAAATAGCCAAAAGGATAAAAACATCCAGATACACTAAACTGCTCCTACTGTTCTGTAAAACAATTTGGAATTACACGATGAAAGTCACAAAACCAGTCATAATACCCTGACCCAGCATTCCCACTATCCGGCACATACCCCAAGGAGATTAAAGGGAAAAAGAAAGATCTCACATTTTCCCAATATTATGGTAGCATTTTCTGTGAAAGCACAACATTTAGGTAGGGGTGGGAGGAATCAGTGTTCAGCAATCTGAGAATGGCTGAACAAATTGTGGCATATGCATGTAATGTTATATTACTGCACCATAAGAGGAAAAAGACAAATACAAGGACTTTTTCAAACCTATAAGAACTGATGGACAATGAAGAAAGCAGAACCCCAGGAATGATATGCAGTAAACAACGTTTACAATAAAGTAAGCAAAACCATTAAAAGACAGCTGAACTCAGATTAAAGGCAGTACCAACAGTGCTGCCACAGGAGAAAGCTATTGGACCAAGGACGTGAAACACTGCATCAAACCATCAGACACAGGCACTCCTTTGGTTGGTTTTACTTAACTCTTTTCTTTTGTACACCAAGGCAGGGTTTTAACTAGAGTTTTCCAAAGGAAGAACAGTTAGGTGTGGGTACTCCCTTCTATATCATAATCAGGAACAACTGAAGGAACAATGTTTAGCTTGGAAGTGATAAGACTTGAAAGGAACATGATACTTTTTTTAAAAAATTCAGTTATTTTTAGTTTTCAACATTTACTTCCACAAGATTCTGAGTTTCAAATTTTCACTCATCTCACCCCTCCCCCCCAAGACAGCATGCATTCTGAATATCTGTTTCCCCAGTCTGCCCTCCCCTCTATCTCTCCCCCCCTCCTCTTACGCCCTTCCCCTTCTACCCAGCTACATGTGAAAATATTTTTTTTAAACACGTGTTTTTAAAACTTTGGGTTCCAAATTTTCTCCCTTCCTTCCTCCCCACCCACCCTCATTGAAAAGGCAAGCAACTCAATATAGGTTATATGTATGCAGTTATACAAAACACTTCCATAGTAGACATGTCGTGAAAAACTAACTCTATTTCCCTTAATCCTATCCCGCCCCCCCATTAACTCTATTCTTTCTTTTGATCCCGTCCCTCCTCAGAAGTGTTTGCTTCTGATTATCCCCTTTCCCAATCTGCCCTGCTCTCTATCATTCCCCTGCTCTCTTGTCCCCTTCTTCCCCCTATTTTCCTGTAGGGTAAGACAGATTTCCATCCCCAATTGAGTGTGTATGTTATTCCCTCCTTAAGCCATATCCTATGAGAGTAAGATTTCACTCATTCCCTCTCACCTTCCCCCTGTTTCCCCTCCACTGTAAGAGCCTTTTCTTTTGTTTTTTGTGAGATAATTTACCCCATTCTACCTCTCCCTTTCTCCTTCTCCCAGTACAATCCCCTCTCACCCCTTAATTCTATTCTCCAGATATGACCCCTTCATCTTTTTTTTTGACTCCTTCATCTTCAACTCACCCTGTGCCCCCCTCTACATATATATATATAAAACACATGATACATTTCTTTTTTTCTTTTATTAATTTATTTTGATTTATCAACAATCACTTCCATATGTTTCTGAGTTTAAAATTTTTCTCCCCCTTCCTCCCCTCTACCCTCCCCAAGACAGCGCACAATCTGATATAGGCTATACATTTATGTTCCTATTAAACATATTTTCACATTAGTGGAGTTGCAAGTAAAAATTAAAACCAACAGGAGGAACCATCACAAAAAGGAAACAAAACTCCACAGAAGGGGAAAAAAATGATAGCCATTCAACTTCCATAGTTGTTTCTTTGAATGTGGATAGCATTTTCTATCACAAGGCCTCTGGAGATGTCTTAGACATGATACATTTCTTCAACTACTACAAGAACTACTTGACTCCAAAGAGAGGAACAAAAATCTAGTTCAGAGAAGTTAAGGAGCCAGTTTTCCACGCATTTTAAATTCTAAAAATGAGGGCTGTATGGAATGAGCTGCCTCAGGAGAGAATGAAATTCTCTTCACTAGGGGTGTTCAAATAGAAGTTATTTGAGAAATATAAAAGGGACTCGTAAATCAGAAAAGGGCCATATGATTTAGAGGCAGAAGAGACCTTAGAAATCATATACTCCTCTACCTTCATTTTACAGATCGGCAGCCTGAGGTCTAGGGAGAATAGCTTGCCTAAGAAACGCAGCTGGAATCATCAAAACTACTTGGTACTGGCTAAGAAATAGAGTGGTGGATCAGTGGAATTGGTTAGGTACATAAGACACAGAAGTCACTCACCACAGTAATCTACTGTTTGATAAATCCTAAAGACCCCAGCATCGGGATAAGAACTCACTATCTGACAAAAACTGCTGGGAAAACTGGAAAATACTATGGTAGAAAGTAGGCAGAGACCAAAATCTTACACCATATACCAAAATAAAGTCAAAAGAGATACATGATTTAGATATGAAGGTTGATACTACAAACAAACTAGGATATCAAGGAATAACTCTGACAGGAATTACCTGTCAGATTTATGGAGAACATAAGAATTTATGACCAAACAAGAGAGAGAGAACATTATGAAATGCAAAATGGATAATTTTGATTACATTAAATTGAAAAGGTTTTGCACAAAGAAAGCCAATGCAACCAAGATTAGGAGGGAAGCAGAAAACTGGGAAAGAATTTTTACTACCAGTATTTCTGATAAGAGAACTAAGTCAAATTTATAAGAATACAAGTCTTTCCCCAATTGATAAATGGTCAAAGGATATGAACAGGCAGTTCTCAGATGAAGAAATTAAAGCCATCTATAGTCAAATGAAAAAATGCTCTAAGTCACTATTGATTAGAGAAATGCAAATCAAAACAACTCTGAGGTACCACATCACACCTATCAGATTGGCCAACATGACAAAACAGGAAAATGATAAATGCTGGAAAAGATGTGGGAAAACTGGAACACTAATGCACTGTTGGTGAAGTTGTGAAATGATCCAACCATTTTGGAGAGCAATTTGGAACTATGCCCAAAGGGCTATCAAAATGTGCATACCCTTTGACCCAGCATTAGCACTTCTAGGGCTATATCCCAGAGAGATCATACAAATGGGAAAAGGACCCACATGTACAAAAATATTCATAGCAGCTCTTTTTGTGGTGGCAAAGAACTGGAAATTGAGGGGGTGCCCGTCAGCTGGGGAATGGCTGAACAAGTTGTGGTATATGAATGTAATGGAATACTATTGTGCTATAAGAAATGATGAGCAGGCAGACTTCAGAAAAACCTGAAAAGATTTGTATGGACTGATGCTGAGTGAAGTGAGCAGAACCAGGAGAATATTGTACACAGTAACAGCCACGTTGTACAATGACTAACTTTGATAGACTTAGCCCTCCTTGACTATGCAAGGATCTAAGACATCTCCAAAAGTCTCATGATGGAAAATGCAATCCACATCCAAAGAAAGAACTATGGAGTTTTGAATGCAGATTGAAGCACACTATTTGCTATTATTTTTCTTCTGCTTCGTTTTGTTTTCTCTTTCTTGTGGTTTCTCCTGTTGATTCTAATTCTTCCTTACAACATCACTAATGTATGAAAATGTTTAATAGGAATGTATATGTAGAGACTATATTAGATTCCACGCTGTCTTGGGGAGGGAGGGGGAGAAAAATTTGAAACTCAAAAGTTTATGAAAGTGATTGTTGATAAATCAAAATAAATAAATAAATTTTAAAAAAGAAAAGAAAGAAAAGTAGCTGGAATCAAACTCAAGTCCTTTAACTCCAAGTTAGCTATTCATCTCACTAGACCAAACTGTCTCTCAGTTGACAGATTCTAAGATTTTATGAGCTATGACATTTCTCAATAATGTATTTTCAAGATTTTAACAAATGAAGACAACAGCCATTAGAGTACAAAACAGGTAAAAAAGTCATAAAAAACTCATGTGGCGCAGCAAAAGGGGAAGAGACACCAGTAATACAAAGACCAGAGAATGAGGAACTGGAAGGGACCTCATGTGTCATCCATGGCAGCCCCTTCCTTTTACAGAGAAAGAACCTTGCATTCAGACAGGTGAGATGAGTGGCCCAAGAGGCCATAGAGCTGAGTCCTGAACCCAGGATCTCTAACTCAAATCCAGTGTTCTCTGCCCAACCCCAAGCTGCCTCTGACCATGTTGTGAGTGGAACCAAAGAATGCAGCAGAGTAGCAGCACGGCCATTTATGCCATCCTAAAACCAATACTCTTCACAGCTGGCATATATGGGGCACGTAGAGATTTGTAAAACGCTTTACATATGTTAATTCAATTGATACACAAATTCCTCTGCTAAGCCTACTATTATTTACAAGAAAATTGAAGCTCAGAGGTAACGTGATCAGCCCATGGTCCTGGAGAAAGGCCCCAAATAAAAGTCCCTCCTGACTCCAAATCCAAGGACACCGAACCCTGCTGCCTTCTGTTTCTACTTCTTACTTAGGTGACTGTGGGCCAATCACTAACTTTGCTGAGCTTCAGTCTCCTAAGTGAGGGGGGGCTGGACTAGATGGCCTCAAAGGTCCCTTCTAGCACTACTAAATCTAGGTTAATCTTGACTCTTGATCCAAGGAATTAAAAACTGAATTTTATCCTAATTAATACCACAGAAAGGACCTATCTGTAAAATAAATACTGAGAACTTCCTTATTTGTAATAGTAAAAACTTGGAAACGACTTAAAGGTACTAAATGGATAATGGCTGAATAAGTTAGGGGCATTAATATAACAGAATATTAAAGTGTCATAAAAAAGACACATACGAAGCAGAAAAGGAAACAGATCTATATCAAAGGTACAAAGCAAAAAAAGCAAAATCATTAGAGTAGTTCTCAATTCCCACTTCTCTCTCTATAGAGATATTTAGATATTGGCACATATGTATCTACGTATGCATGTATGTATGTATGTATATGCCCAGACCTGTGATTTCATTGAGGCAGGAACCTCCTTGGTGAAGAAACTTTCTCTACCAGTAAAGATCAGCAATTATTCTGCAATGTCTATGGTATGAGGGACTTGTACGGGGAACTGAACGCTTCAAAGTCTTGACAATGCCACAGTCAGTATGTATCCAAAGAGTATGTGCCTTGAGCTCAGGTCCTCGTGACTCTGAGGCACGGTCTCCATCCCTGATAGCCTTATACTCAGCCCTAACCCTGAGCACAACCTGAGCCAGGGCTTCCTCTTCTTTTTTTCTGAAAGGCAATTGGGGTTAAGTGACTTGCCCAGGGTCACACTGCTAGTAAGTGTCAAGTGTTTGGTCTGAGGCCAGATTTGAACTCAGGTCCTCCTGAATCCAGGGCCGGTGCTCTATCCACTGGGCCACCTAGCTGCCCCCAGGGATTCCTTTTCTAACTCCAAAGTCAGCTCTATCTACTAGACGAAGGTCTCACTATGTTGTGGGTGTCTCATGTGGGCACACACAATGCACCAAAAAATTCTGAATTTGAGATTGACTTTCAAAAAGACACCAGAGGGGGCAGCTAGGAGGCACAGTGGATAGAGCCTGGGCCCTGAGTTCAAATCTGGCCTCAGACACATAACACTTACTAGCTGTGTGACCCTGGGCAAGTCACTTAACTCCATTGCCTAACCAAATTAAAAAAAAAAAGGACACCAGATTCATTATTTTGATTGTTAATTAATTCAAATCTACTTTGTCAAATGCAGAGGGTGGCATAAACAGTTTTATGCCTAATTTTACACACACACACACACATACTTATTTATCTGTCTTTGTTGTTGGTTAGGTTTGTAAGAGGCAGACAAGCACTGTGGATGTGGACAGCTGTTTCTGAGTCAATAACATCTGGCTGCAAGTCTTACTTCTGACACCTACTGACTGTGTGGGAGTGGACAAACCACAATCTCTCAGTGCCACAGGCAACTCTCAAAGACTCTGAGCAAAGAAGGTATTACCTTGTATTAGTAGACAGTTTCCTAATTGGGAGTTCTTTATGCTAATGAAATCACATCTGATCCAGAAAAATAAAAAAATTCAATAACTAAGTAAATGTGAAGATATAAAGGTGTAAGAATAGGACAGTCCTCTCTCACTTACCCGTACAGGTGCTTCTGCCACCTTCCAAGTCCAGAGGTTCCTGACGATTTAGGCCCCATGGTTCTTCCTCTCTCCGGGAGATCCCTGTAGGTTTCGAAAATGGAAATCCTGCTTGTGCAGAAGAAAATGAGACTGAATAATAATTAGCAGAGTCACAGATATCCATTTAATCCCTACGTCTGGAAAGAACATCTAGGGAAGGCAATTAAATGCCCAGAGAAAGCAAGAGGGAATTGTATGACCCTCAGACGGGGGACTTGGAAACCACAAAGACTGAGGCAGAATCCAATGATTTAGAACCAGATTCAAAATTAGCTTATTTTATTCTCTCCTTCCTAATTAGGTAGGAAAAAATCAATAGCAAACTACTTAGGAATCTTAGCGGCAAATACTTAGCTTAGAAAAGCTGAGAAAGGGTACCCTAATAAGGTCTTTAGGAAGGGACAAGGGTAGAGAATGTCAAACCACTGATGTATAAAGTAAAGCTTCCAAAGGATCAATAAGAATACAGAAAGTTTTAAGAAATAATTTCCTGGGACATTACTTCGCTATGGACCTGAAAAGCCTTGGAAATAGAGGTTTAGAACTTTCTGATTCCTATTAACTTTTTCTTTTTTTTTTTAAGTGAGGCAGTCTGGGTTAAGTGACTTGCCCAGGATCACAGAGTTAGGAAATATCAAGTGTCTGAGGCCAGATTTGAACTCAGGTCCTCCTGACTCCAAGGCCAGAGATCTATCTACTGCACTAACTTGCTGCCCCCCTATTAACTCTTAATAGCATTAACAAAAACTCTTTATTTAGCAACAGGTATGAAGCAAGACAAAGTCCCAAAATAAAGATTTTAAAGTGGGTCAACAGAATCATTACCCAGTGATACCACATCCCGATAATTCTCCAGCATCAAATCTCGAAAGAATCTCTGAGCAGCTGCTGAACTCTTCCATTCTTTCTTGGGGAGGTCCACTGACACATCCTCAAATGTCACCAAATCCTGAAAACAATGAGTTCTTTATGTTCTAAGTATTATTTCAGGGCTCAACTCCTTGCTATGTCCTACATCACCACGGAGGAGGGAGAGGGTGTGTGGCATATCTGTTGGTAGACATTCTAAGTGAAGAGATAATATACAGGAGATTGTCATGGTCGATAGAGTTATTCAGCAAAAGGGGTCCAGGCACTTAGAGAAGTCACCTGGACTCCTGACAGATACCTGACTGGGCCATTTGTGGGCAGACCAAGTCAAAGAATGTTATAATGTAAAAGGAGCAAATATAGCTCATTATGTACCAAATAAATGAGCTAATATGATTCTACTAGACTGTATCTTACATAAAGGTAAGGACTCTGTTTTATGTCAACTTTATATCTCCTTTAGTACCTAACACAGTGCTTTGTACATAACTGGAAATTTTGTTCTTTGAAGACTGGGTCTCCCTATCTCACCCATACTTGGAAGTGTATCAGCCATTCATGGGTCCTTTCCCAACAGTGATCAGCGCAGAAGCTTAAACTTGCTGTTTTTCTGCCCTGAACAAGTTAACCCCTCCTTAGACAGCCTGGTGGTCCTCTGTGTCTGAGGGTTCATAATATTGGTGACAGACACATACTTACTCTGCCTTAGCCCCACCGCAACTCAAGACTCCCAAACTTAATAGATCCATCAACCTTGGCCTCCCCAGCAGCAAGGATTCCAGGCGTGAAACACCCCACCAGGATTAAAGTGTATGTCATAAAGTGAATGGTTCCACCCAGGTAATGAGATTATCAGGATTCCTCTTCAATTCCTTCCTACTAATTTCCATAGCAAACTGACATGAAAACTACTTTTTCTGGAGGCAGATGCCCATTTTTATTGTCATATTCATAGAATTCTAATTTTTCAAAACGTTTTCATATCAATTATCTCATTCTGCCCTCATATCAATGAGGGGAAATAAAGTTTATGGAGAGGTTATAATTTTTGCCATGAAAATCAATTAATGTTTCTAAGTCTAAAGACTTCAAAGTGGAACATGCCCTGACGAAAGAAGAATTGGGGTCAAATTTCACTTCTGTCACTGACCAGCTAAGTGACCCTGAGCAATTCTTACTCTTAGTTACCTCTTCCAAAAAAAGTAAGATGACAACACTCACAACTACCTACTTTACAAGGTCGTCAAGGGGAAAGTACTTTGCAAACCTTAAAATGCTGGAAAAGTATGAGCTTATTAAAGCACTACATAAATGTTAACTTTCCTGACCACTGTCTAGCCCTGTGGGCCAGCGGGCAGCTGAGGAAGCCAAGGCCCAGGGAGATGACAAGGCTTACTGAGGGCCTTAGTATAGGAGCAATGTCAGAAAAGAAACTCTGCCTCTGCATTTTCCAGGTTTCTGGACCAGGGATCTTCCCACTCTGGGTCAAACAGTTCCTTGGAACCTGGTTAGGTGAATCTGACTGTGGACCTTCTCCTCTGCTAGGCCTACAGACTACACTTTTGGTGTCAAACAACTACCATCTGGTGTTAGCCCTACACTGTAATTTAATTCAAAGCATATCAACAAGGTAGCAGCTAGGTGGCGCAGTGGATAGAGCCCTGGCCTTGAAGTCAGGAGGACCTGAGTTCAAATCCGATCTCAGACGCACAACACATACTAGCTGTGTGACCCTGGGCAAGTCACTTAAGCCCAACTGCCTAGCAAAAAGCAAAAAAGCAAAAAAACCCCCCAAAACAACAAAGTATATCAACTAACATTTTTGAGTGCCTGCCATTTGCAAGAAATCATGCCCCAACAGTGTTTTTCCTTTGACCACCCTTAATATAATAAGAATGATAATAATAGCTAACATTTATATAGCACAGGTTTGCAAAGCACTTTACAAACATTATCTTATTTTGTCTTTTTTTTTTTTGTGAGGCAATGGGGTTCAGTGACTTGCCCAGGGTCACACAGCTAGTAAGTGTCAAGTGTCTGAGGCCGCATTTGAATTCAGGTCCTCTTGATTCCAATGCCAGAGCTCTATCCTCTACACCACCTAGCTGCCCCTTCATTTTGTCTCTTTAACAACGTCCTGAGGTAAAGGCTGTTATTATCCCACTTTACAAATGAAGAAACTGAGATAGGCAGACTTTAAAGTGGCTTGCTAAGAGTCACATAAATGGTTAGTATCTGGGCTGCAATTTGAACTCAGGTCTTCCTGACTTCAGATCCAGGGCTCTATCCGCCATGCAACACAGCTACCTATGAATAAATGAATGAATGAAAATTTATATCTGTCTGTATGACGACTGGCCATGACGACGACAAACCATAACCAACTACCCTGAGGCCAGCCATCAAACCATCCTGAACTGATCATATTTCATCATTACATATATATGTGGATGCTTGTCTATCTGATCTCTTCTCTACCCATACTTACTATATGCTTAAATATAAAAAAAATACCTTATTCTATCTTCTCGCTCTACTCTCCAAATCTAGTTGCTTCCTGGAACCTTGCTGCAATCACAGTACTGTATATGTTTGGTAGCTCAATGAATACAGCACCAGGCCTGGGGTCAGAAAGACCAGAGCTGAAAAACTACCTCAGACACTTACTAGCTGAGTAACGCTGGGCAAGTCACATGATCTTGCTTGCCTCGGTTTCCTCACCCGTACAATGAACTGGAGAAGAAAATGGCAAACCACTCTAGCATCTTTGCCAAGAAAATCCCAAATGGGGTGATGAAGAGTCACAACAACTTAAAAAGACTGAACAACAAGAAATATGTTTGGGAAAACTTTCGCGAATAACTTATGAGAGTGCATGGTCCTGACAAAAATGGGAGGAAGGAAGGGACATTTCCGTGCTTCTAAACTAAACCAACTCTCTTTGAACTTGGAAACATTAAAAGAATTTTGTTTTAACGTTTTAAGAAATCTTTGCATTGGTGAGTTAAGAATATACCACATATTGGTTTTCTAGAATGGAAAAATATCTTGTGTGGGAGTCAGAACCTCTGGTTTCCGGCAATGATGTGGCCCAGTGAGCACTGGTCTTTAGAGTCAGGACCTACTTCCACATTTCCCCTCTGACATTCACTTAATCTCTTTGAACCTCAGCTGCTTGGTCTGCACAACAGCGACAACTCCTTAGGAGCTCTCTCCACAGAATTACTCACGTCACATCAAATCTAAGAACTCAAAGGGACCTCAGCAGAAATCAAGTTCAACACATACATGAAGGAATCCCAACTAGAACACACCCCACAAGGGGTGTCACCCAGCCTCTGCCCACGTTCCACATCTGGACAGTGAACTGTTGGATTTCTCCTAACACCAAACTTCCCCCCATGGTCCCTGGTTCTGACCTCTGGGGCTAGACAGAAAAGGTCTGATGGCTTCTCCATGATCTTTCCAAATACCTGAAGATGGCTGTAGTGTCCAAAGACGACAGATCTGGGGATGGAAGAGACACCACCCAATGATAACAACAATGGCTAACACTCAAACAGCACTTACCATGTGCCAGATACTGTACTGAGCACTCTACAATTACCATCTCATTTGATCCTCATGACAACCCTGGCAGGTAGGTGCTATGATTATCCCCATTTTACAGACCAGGAAACTGAGGCAAACAGAAGTGAAGTGACTTGCCCAGGTCACACAGCTAGGAAGTGTCTAAGGTCAGAGTCACACTCAGGTGTTCTGACTCCAGGCCTGGTGCTCTATCCACTGCTCTTCCTAGCTGCCCCTAAGTTTACAGATGAAGAAACCAAGGCTGAAATGTTAAGTGACCTGCTCATGGTCACGCAGCTGGTGTCAGAGGCAGGATTTTAAACCAGGTCCTCCTGGCTCTAAGCCCAGCACGCCATGAAATCTTGAGTCTTCTCTTCCCCAGGCGAATCATCTCCATTGCCTCCAACTGACTCTCCTAGGACATGGGCTAGCCCTGGACCAATTCACCCTCCCGGGGAGGCCCTCACTACTAGCGGCCCTCTGCTCTTCTGGCTCACTGCCCTTCTCTGGAAACTCCCCAGAATATCAACAGCCTTCTTAAAATGTGGCATCCAGACCTGAACCCAAGAAGGGAGAAGTCAGCTGGTAGAGGCCAGAATCCAGTGCACTGCCAGCTCTCTTTTCCTGGAGGCTAGGCCCCATTCAACCAAGCCCAGAATTCTGGCTGCCACAGCATCAAGTCCACTCAAATCCACAGACCTTTTTCAGAACAACTTCTAACTATGTCTCCTCAACCCAGTATTCGTGAAATTTAACATGCATTCACACGCAAGACTTTACAATATCCCCACTGAATTACCATTAGATTCAGCCCAGTGTTCTAGCCTGTCACGATCTTTCTGCATCCTAACTCTGTCATCTATCTTTCTTAGCTTTTGCATCATCAGCAAGCTTGATAAGCCTCCTATGGCTGCATCCAAGTCATTAATTAAAATGTCAAAGAGCACAGGCTCATTTGATGGGGTATTTCAGTGGAGACCTCCTGCCATGATGACAATTAACTATAACCAACTAGTCTGAGGCCAGCCATCCAACCAGCTCTGAAATGATCAAACTGCATCATCATCTACTACTGCTAGGTGCTGTGTTTAGCTGGAATAATGAACCCCTTGAAGTGACGGCATTATTCAAATTCACACTGTATACTTCCATTGGGCTGAAACCAAATACCATATTTTACATAATCATACATCACAGTGCAAATGAGAATCCATGTGAACACTTCAGGGGATTCATTATTCATACTAACTGGCCTCTCCACAAGAACAGGGTGAGATAGTTATCAAAAGCCTGAATACAATCCTGCTCAGACATGCACAGCATATCCTCATCTACTAGTTTTGTAATCTGGTCAAAAAAGGAAATGAGATGAGTCTAGCATGGCCAGTTCTGGATAAAGTCACGCCAGCTAGCTCTCTGAAATGACCATCCCTCTTTATAGATGTCTGCCAATGATCAGGACTTAATGATTCATTCTAGAATTTTCCCAGGAGTCAAAGTCAAGCTCAGTGACCTATACTATCAAGTCTGTTTTCTTCCCTTTTGAAAGATGAGGACACTTTCCCTTCTCCAACCTTGTGGTGTGTCTCCCTTTGTCCACAATCTTTCAAATATTACTGACAGTGGCTCAGCAATCACATCTGCCAGTGCTTTCAGCGTCCAAGGACATAGTTCAGCTCAATTTCAGCAAGGTTAGAATTCATCAAGGGCAACTGGGTGTTTTCTCACTGTCTCCTTACTTATCTTGGGCATCAACTCTTTGTCAACCATTTTTGTTTTGTCATGTCTAATGCAAAGGTCATTCTCCTACACAGAGAAAACAAGAGGAATAAGAAAGATGGGGCAATGTGTCCCCCTACTGTCAGCCCACCCCAAACATATGTCCTGTCCCTTCTTTGATCCTTTCCCCCCCATATAAACTAATGAGCTAATGTTCATAGTACTTTCCAAACCTTACAGTGCTATATAAAGGCCAGATGTTATCATCAGTCCCACTTTTAGCCACTAATGAGTCTTGCCACCTAATTCCCAGTTACTTCTACAAAACAGAGGTAATATACTACTCCTGTCCACTTCACAGTGTCTGGGTGAGAACAAAATAATTGCAAATAGGTACCATTTTGACACTACTTCAAGCCTTACCAGTCACTATCCTCATGAGTCATAATCTTTCTGAGCTTTATAGCACAAAAGGCTTGGAACAGATAATTCTTAAAATTCCTCCTAGCCCTATGATGTCCTATGACATAGGGACAACAAGATTATTGCCATTTTACAGATTTTTAAAAAATGGAGACTCAGAGACATTAAGAGACTTATTAAAGATTACACAGCTAGGAACTGTTAATAGCACAGACAAGAACCCAAATGTTTTTAATTAATATCACAATTCTTTTCAAAACACCACACTGTCTTCAGTGAAAATAAATTCCTATCCAAATGTACGGTGGTAGTACTATCACTTGTTATAAAAGCACAGACATCCATTTCCAGACAGACTGTGAAATCTCCTACTTTGGAAATTACGATATCTAAGCTAAATTGGCTATATGATGCTTCTGTAGCTATGAGTCTGGGAATGTCAGCTACTACAAGAACCATTTCCTATGCATAATAACTACTGCTTATATTATGAAGAGTTTTAGGCACTTACCACTTTGATCTTACAAAGCGGATAACAAAAGTATTACTCTCCTCATTTTAAAAATAGCTAATGTGGAAATGTGTTTTGCATGACTTCATATGTAGAATGGGTATCATATTTCTTGCCTTCTAAATGGGGGAGGGAGGATGGAGGGAGGGAGAAAATTTGGAACTGAAAATAAAGTTTTAAAAAACTTAACAATTAAATGTTTATAAATGTCATTAAGAAATGTTTAACAAAATAAATAAAAATGCAATATAACATAAATAGAGAGATGAATGAGAACAAAATGAGGTGTAGCTTCCTCAAGGATACACAGCTAAGTGACACAGCTGGGACCCAAATATAGGTTTTATGACTAAGACATGCAGCTGCTCTAGAAAACCTGAAGGCAAAATGTCTTCAAGCCATGGTTACTGAGGGCTCCTGTTTTTAAGGTAGTTTCACCTGCTAAGAAAGCAGTTCTGGACTACACCCTAACTCTGCCATGAATGGTTCTACTTCTCACCTTCCGTCCCAGTCCATTAAGGTGTCTCTGGAAGTCCTCCACCATGGCCACTGCCTCCTCTCCACTTTCTGGACGATGCAGCTGCACCCAGGCGCGCATCTCCCCAGGCAGGATGGTGATGAACTGCTCCAGCACCAGCAGCTCCAGGATCTGCATCTTTGTGTTCATGTCTGGCCTCAACCAGCGTCCACAAAGGTCACGCAGTTGGCTCAGGGCCTCCTGGGGCCCAGAGGTGTCATGGTAACACAGCTGCCGAAAGTGTTGCCGAAAGACTTCACAGCTGATCTGGCTGTCCTGCTGCAGGCTTGATCCTGGTCCCCGGGATTTGTCCCTCTTCTTCTGGACGCCCAAGAGCTTAGGGGCCAGACATCTGGCTTTCCTCACCTCTGCAGTCATCACAGCCTCTCACCAGAGTCCCTGCGTCTACCTCTAGTCTCAGAACTTTGTCTTGAATATCTCAGCCCCAGGATGACTTCACCTAGAGGTATGTCAGAAATCACAGTTAATACTGAGAAATAACCAAGTGGCAGAGAGTTCAGGTCCACGCTAACAAAGTTATCTTCACTGGAAGGAAAATAATATTTCCCATAAGATCATGGATCTAGAACTGGATGAGACCTTACAACACTATTTAGTCTAACTCCCTCATTTTACAGATGAGAAAACTGAGGTGCAAAGAGATTATGTGACCAGCCCTCATAATGGCAGAAAGCAACTGAGACAGGATGTGACCCCGGTCTTCTTGGCTCCAAGACCAGTTAGTTCTCTATCCACTCAGCCATGCTGGCTCTCACAATGCTCATTCCTTACAAAAGTCATGCCATCCAGCCTCTGCCAATGGGTAATCACTTGTCTTGCAAAAGCATATCCTTCTTTCAACATTATTCACAGTATCACAACTGTGTTCACTTAATTATCAGAAAACCACCTAACTGATTCTTCCACAATATGCTATGTATGGGGTAGGGTAATTAATCAAGGGAGCTCAATTTGATAAGTCTATCTCTTCCCTTAGAGTGCAAGCATGTCCACTGGTAACTTGTTAACAGGACAGACAACAGTTCCTGATTGCATTTGACTCTCTCAGAATTTGTGACAGAGGAAAGAAAAGCCAGGCATAGCATGACCCGAAAACTACCTAAATCTGGAGAAAACATTTCAAAGGGTTTAGAAGAAAGATAGGTAAAATTTCATGGACTAAAATTCTACAGAAGTCTTCTCAGAAGGGATGCAAAATTCTTGAGAATACAAATTTTAAGACATAAGAAACAATTTAAAGGAAGAAAAACAAGAATTACCTAAAGAGATCAATGTGGCCATACAGGTAACTCACCAACCAATTTGGATTTTTACTTTTTTTTTTTAAATTTTTTCCCCACTTAATAGTATTTTATTTTTTCCAATTACATGTAAAGTTAGTTTTCAACATTCACTTTTATAAGATTTTGAATTCCAAAATTTTCCCCCCTCTTTTCCTCCCCTCCTCCCTCCCTTTATCCCATCTCCCATCACCAAGATGGCAAGCAATAGGATATAGGCTATACATGTACAATCATATTAAAGGCTGGTCTTTAAGAAAAAAAAGGAAAAAGAAAAACAAAATCACTAATCACTTTAGCTTCTCATTGATTGGTCAATAACAGGTCCCAGGCTAAGCCCCACCTGGTCACTGTTTGGGCCCTGACTGGCTCAGAACTAATGTACATGACAATTGTTTCTGTTTTGGGCAGAAATCCTGAGGGTCTTCTTCCAGATCAATTTTTTTTAAGAGGCCATTCTTTGCCTCATTTCTTGTTATGCATTAAACACTGAATGGGTGCTGCCTCAGTCAAACTGAGACCTGTTAAAGACCCTAGCTTAAAAGGCCAAGGTCCCCCACTGCATCCTGGGCCATCTCCAGTTGTCCTGATCAATATCTAGCCACTCGACTCAGATGGCCCTGGAGGAGAAAATGACGCTAGTGACTTTGCAGAGCCCTCTCTCTCTTAAACATAATTCAGCTGAATGTGATGGCATCACCTCCCTGAGGTCATGGTCCTCTTCGAGAAGAAAGGACACACAAACAGCAGCAACAATCATATTAAACATATTTCCACATTAATCATGTTGTGAAAGAAGAATCAGAAAAAAGGGAACAACCATGAGAAAGAAAGAAAAAAGAGAGAGATAAAATAGTATGCTTCAATCTGCATTCAGACTCCATAGTTCTTTTTCTGGATGTGGATCGCTTTTTCCATCATGAGTCTTTGGGAATTGTCTTAGATCATTATACTGTTGAGAACAGCTAAGTCTATCATAGTTAGTCATCGGAACCATCCAACTTATATTTTTAAAAGATAAATGGAGAAGACAGAAGCAAGGACAAGCAAAAGGGTAAATACAAAAGTGTGGCAAGGTCTGATAAAAAAGTGATGACATCAACGCAGAAAAGTAAGGAGAACAGAAAAAGGTTTTGCTTTAAGTATTCAGGGGGAATAAAGATCAAAGAAGGGTCAGGACAACCACTTCGAGTGGATGAGATCCGGATAACTGAGACAGAGGGAAGGCAGAGTTACTCAATTATAATTTTACTTCTGTTTTATTTGTCAAGGAGAATCTTTTATACTAGAAATGAAAAAAAGGAAAAACAGCTAATGAGGAGTTGATACCCAAGATAAGAAAACACATACCTGCTTTTGATGGATTCAAGATACCTAATTTCATGAACTACACCATCAGGCACTGGAAGAACTAGGAGCTGTCTTTGCTTGACTATACATACTTCTTTTTCTCAATGGGGGTGGGGAGAGGATAGATTTGTTTATTGAAAAATACCAAATTAGAAGATTAAAAAAAAACTTAGTCAATGTGACTGCTGGGTCACTGAATCACTGAAAGATCATAGAGGATAGAGAGATAACAGAACTGGAGAAGGACAAATGGCCCAATTTTCAACAAAAGGAAAAGAACAGATTGTAAACTAAAGACCAGTGAACTTGATTTTAAGTCCTGGAAAAAATTCTAGAACACTTCATTGTTGGCTTCATCAAGGACAGATCAGATCCAGGCTTCATTACCTTTTTTGACAGGATTACTGACCTAGTAGATTGGGGGAATACTGAAAGTATGTATAATTTACCTAAATGCTAACAAAGCTTTTGTTAAAGTATCTCATACTTAAGCAAAAGATGGGAGGGATGTAGGCTAGATGGCAGTACAATCAGATTAATTCAGACAGAGTTGAATGGTTGATGGCTCTCCAGTGTCAACTAGGTAGGTCTACAGAGAGTTGCCCCAGGGACTTATACCTGGTTCTCTACAGTATTACATTTTAAGCCAATAACTTGGATAAAGGCATGAATGGTATTCTCAACTTTGCAAATCAAAATTAGCTATCTCAACACTGGGAAAGATCCCTAACACCCTGGATGACTGTACATGTCACACTTGTGTTCTTGGGGGGGTGGGAGGTGTGAAGTCCTCTATCTACTCTCCTCCTGTCCCCTCACCCCCAGAAACTCAAAAGAGCTGACTTGGGGCAGAAGTACAAAGGCAATGCATGTGCTTTCCCACTATTTACTTGGCTGAACAGACAAATTTTAGAGCGTGTACTTTCCCTGCCTAAACTATGGTGCAGCAAAAACACTATTTCCCATAGAAACAGACTTGTGCTTGCTCATTGTGCTCAAGAGATTTCATGTGCGATGTTCTCTGACCCCATTATTTGGTGGAAGGGAGAAAGGATTTCAGTTTCCTAGGCAGCATTACTCAAGAATCTGGCCTTTTAGACAGAAAAGGTAGATTCTTTGGGCAATAGCAGTCCTGGAGATTGCCAAGTTCAAGAGTTCAGAAGGCTGACTTCTAGAGCAGGGCAGGAAGCTCCTGAGCAACATCCCCCTTGGAAAAACAAAAACAAAAAAACAGAAGAATTGTTCATGTGGCCCCTGAAGTAGTACAAGAGGAGGAAAAGCCATGTGGTTGTAACAGGGGAGAGGAAAAGGTAAAAAATATCCGGATCTTGTCACCCCTACCATTACAATGAGCTGACAGCAGCAGGGGATGTTGACAGCCCTAAGTGTTTCCCTGCCCTAAGAGTCCAAGGTCTCAGAATAGTACCGGAAAGTTGAATGTATAGATTCCTGGGAAGTGAAAAGAAGAACTCACAAGAATGCTTGTTCAGCAGCCTTTTGGGGGAAAATCTAAACTAGTAGTGTCAAACTCAATAGAAATGGATCCCTGCAAGCCCACACTGACTTAGAAAACAGCAAACTGAAATTATCTATGTTGACACCATTGGCTAAACCACAGACTTGCACTACAAATCTGGGAGCAACTACATAGATAGATGTCTGTGGGAGAAAGGGATTTCAGTCTAATATCAAAGATGACCTGACAGCAACCCCAAGTTCGGCTCCTTTGCAAGGGGAGCTTCACTTCCGAGCTTCTGTGAAGTGCCTTATGATTTTCTGTCTCTGTTTACGGACTATGAGCCCTTTTTGTAATTTCAGTGGGACACGAACTTGTACCTCGAGTGCTTATGCAGGAAATGACAATAACTTCCCGCTCATACATCTATCACTGCCTCTAAACCGAGAGCAAGAATTTTCCCACTGTGCTTTTTTCACCCCTAGGTTTCTTGTATTTTGAAATCAAATTGTAAAAAGTCAAAAATACATTATTTCTAATAAGTATTCAAAACTTGATGTGAATGATTTTATTTTTCCCCAAACTAGGCTTTATTCTACCCAGGTAAAGTTATCTGACACACTTTTTATATGATACTTTAAGAGGCCACTTTTAAATATAGATGGGTTAGCAGAAAGAGATGGTATGATGAGAACCCTGGACTACAATTTAGAAGACACAGGTTCCATTCTCAGCTTATCTGATACGTAATTTTGAATAAATTACTTGACTTTTCTGACTCTACTTCCCCATTTCTAAAATGGAGTTAGTAACGAAGAGAAGCCCTTTCTATATCTCTTGGGATTTCCTGAAGGTAAGATGAAACAAATGCAAGTGAAAGTGTAAAGTACTATACAAATACAAGATATCACACCAGAAATCATGTTACACGGTGTTTAACAGCTCATAAAATGCTTTCCTCATGGCTCTGTGAAGCAGATCCCCACTTTAAAAATGAGAAAATGGACTCAGAGAAGTTAAGCAGCGTTTGTCCACGGCACACTGCTAAGTGTTAAAGGACTCAAACCCAGTTCTTCCTAACAAGATGCTGCTGATTTAAAGTGATGTGCTTCTAAAAATAATGTGTAGTAGATGTTCACACACCAAAGTTCTAGAAGAGGCTGTCCTTCACAACCTACAGTTACCTGCTTCCTTGGCCTGGGAAATTCTCTGACCAACACATCCAAAACAAAAGTCTAGATCATCCTTTGAAAATCAGCTCCTCGTGGTCTTGACTTCTCTTTCAGTTACTGATATCTCTATTCTCCCCAAAACTATAACTTCACATCTTCAACTAATCATTCTCACCTTCCACATCCAATCAGTTAACAATTCCTGTTCAATTTACCTCTGCAAAAACTCTAGCATTCTAACATTCAACCTGTCAATCTCCACATTCTTCCAAAAAGTCTAATCTGCTCTGATTAATTTGATCCCCTGCTCAAAAACCTTCCAGAATTCCATACTATCTGCAATATAAAAGATCAAATTCCTTATCTGGCAGCCAAGGCCCTTCATAATTTGACATTAACCTGAGTACATCATGTATATTCTCACCTCCCCGTCTTTGCTCAAAGGTCTATCTTCTTGAAATGTCCTTTACCACTTATTCCCAACTCTCTTCCCCAGTTACTGCCCTGATCCTTTATCTTAGAACCTAAGTACTATCTGCCTATTCCACCATCCAGGAACTGAACAGGAAGTTTGGGCATCCTTCAGGTGCTGTCCCCTGGAGTTAGAATGTGAGCTCCTTCACAGTAAGGACTGTCTCAAGTTTCTATTTGTATTTCTAGTGCTTAGCACATAATAAGAGCTAACTAAACACTTTTCATTCCATTCCCAGGCCACCACAGGCCAAGTCCACCACTACTCTTCAAACTGAAGTTCAAATACTTCTTCCCTCAGGGCTCACTGCAGTAGGAAATTGTCTCTACCACTTCTAGATTCTCATTATGCCTTATAATCTACAATTACTACATTCTGTACTTTTACATTTATTTGTGTAGAAAGCTTAAGTAAGTCCCCCAGAAAATTTAAATTCTTTGAAGCAGGGACCTGTCATCTCCTCTTCTTCATCACAGCCTACCAGTTACTTGCATGTAGAAGGTACTCAACAAATATCTACTAAACTGAGTTCCCTTAGGCAGTCTAAAATATTTGGGAGATCCAGGTTCAGGGAACCCAAGAATACTCAGTACTAAGAATTCAAAATTCTCTCTGTTTTATCTTCCTTGTCAGTTCGATCTCACTAGAAAATGCTATTTATCTCCTACATTTATTTGTCTTTTGTTTCCTGTTTTTAATTATTTAAAAATTTTGCTTTGGCTAGCACACTGCCACGGAGGCTTAAAGCTTGAGAAACACATCTTTCTGGCTCTACAGCCCAAGAAATCTATTACCTGGTGCCCTCTAGTACAAACTTTAGAAAATGCTTCAAGTCTCTCCCCACTCCAATCCATCCTCCACTCAGCTCTCAAATTAATCTTCCCAAAGTGTAAGGAGATACCAGTAATTGAAACAGAGAAGTCAAGAAAAGGAGGGGCTGATTTTAAAAGGATGATGACCTGACATGTCACCCTCGTGCTCAGAAAACTCCAGTGGCTAAAATCCTGTTTGGCATTCAAAGTCCTTCACAACCTGGCCCCCTCCTACCCTTTCAGTCTTCTTCTACCCCACTCCCTTCCAAGTACTCTGCCTATAGTGACACTGGTCTCCTTGCTGTTCCAAGTCAACTCCAGACTCCTGGCATTTTCTTTTCAAAATAAACTATTTATTTTTAACATTCATTTCGGGGAAAATTTGAGCTCTGAATTCTCTCCCTCTCTCCTGCCCCTCCTTCACCCACTGAGAAACTCCAGGCTTTTCAGTGGCTGCTCCCCTAGTCTAGACTATCCTTCCTGCTCATCTCTTAAATCCCAACCAAAATCCCATCCTAATCTCCTTTAATGTTGGTGTCTTCCCTCTACCGATTATCTCCAATTCATCCCGTATATAACGCTCGTCTGTACCGTTGTCTGCATTTTGTCTCTTTCGTTAGACTGTGAGCTCCTTGAATGCAGTTTTTTGCCTTTCTTTGATTGACTTCCGTAAAGCTACTTTGGCCAGGTAATAATTATAACAGCTGACGTCTACGTAAAATCGACTTCAAGGTTTACAAAACACACAACACAGATTCCCTCTGATCCCACAAAGGACTGGAGGCAGCGTGAAGGACAACGTCGGTTTCTGTGGTCCCTGGGGGTGAACACGTGAGAACGCGGGAAGTCAGTCCCTCCGCACCCACCCCAAGCCCGCCTCCACCTAAGGTCCCGGAGGAGGGAGAGGGGGCGGGGGTGGGGCTAGAGCTAGAGCGTGGCTCCTCCCAGCAACCCCTGCGGGGGCTCCTCCCCCGCCCTCCTTCAGTTCCTCCCCACCCCACTCTAGCTGGGGGCAGGGGGAGATAAGAGAGTGATTCGACCCGACCCTGAAGCCAGGATGGAAGCCGCAAATTCTGCAGACACCCCCTCACTGCAGCGTGCCCCCTTCCCCGGGACCCGGGCCCACACTTACAGGGAATAGCGAGTAAGCGACCTCCAAGGTTCCGACGGGAAGGCAGAGGAAAGGGCAGGGCACGGGACCAAAGACCTCCGCCACTCACGGAAGGATTAAAAAAAATGGTTGACCGGAAGTGGGTGCGGTCATCCCCTGGCTCTACAGCAACTTCCGGCTACGCTCTAGCAGCCCAGGAGGTGTCGGCGTCTCGTTTGCTTTTTGGAAGGGAAACTGGAAGGAAGGAGGGAAGGGGGCAGTCCAATGGGGAAGAAGCCTAGGGATGGCCGCACGGTCAGAGGACCGGGGTTTGGACCCACCTGTCCCTTTCTAAGCTACGGCGCTCTCCCCTGAGCTTCAGTTTCCTCGTCTTTGACATACGGGGGGGGGGGGTAGGACCAGATCCTTTAAAGCAGCCAGCATCATATTTAACATCAGAAAGCTGGAAACAAATGCTATGTCCAGCGATAGGGGATGGACGATTATGCAAACTCCTTCAAATTTAGGGGAAACTGGAGTTACGTAAAGTGACTTTGCAGGGAAGGGGGAGACAAAGGCTTCCAGCAGGTTTTTCATAGAAGTTTTGTCAAGCAGTCTTGGTCTCAGAGTCCTAGGAGAAGCTGGAGATTGTTTCACCCCCAGCTTCTTCTGTAACCACACATGCCGCTTGCTCTTGCGGCTCTCCTAAAGGCGGGGTTGTTCATCTTTTGGTGTCATAGACCCCTTTGGCAGTCTGGTGGCACCTAGGGACCCTTTCCCAGAGTCATGTTTTAAAAGGTGTAAAATTAAATACATGGGATTACAAAAGAAGGCAGTTATATTGAAATATAGCTATCAAAATGTTTAAAAACAAAAGCAAGTTCACAGATTTGTGATTAAGAACCCTTATCTTAGGGTGTCACAAAGACAACTGGAAGCCTAGGACAGAGTTAGCCTCTTGGTATTTCCATGTGTTGGAACTGCATTTTCCCCAGCCTTTGGCAACTAATGAAGTCAGATGCCAATTATCTTTTACCACCCCTTGTTGGGTATCAGCATGGTCTTTTAGATCCTTGAATTGTTGAGAAAAGACTGATCACAGCAAAATGCTGTATCCATCAGCAGTTTGTAATGTTCTTTTACTGATCCAAAAGAATAAGGATCCTGACACCTATCCTTTATGGTAGCCCTGAGCCTCTTCCTATTCTGCACTAAAGAGATACCTCTCTATAGAATCTAAACATTCACCAAAACTTAAGGTAAAACAGGTGCCCACTGTGTGTGTGTGTGTGTATGTGTGTGAAGAAGCTGTGGCAGCATGGAGAGAGGTAACCATATACAACCATTGATGGGCACAGGGAGGCTGAAGTGCTTGCCCTCTCTGTTTTACAGGGGCCTGAAGTTCCATATGCATGCACGCAGGGACCAGATTCAGTATTAGTTTCTAGAGAGAGCGAGAATCAGCCTCTTTTCTGGAGCTCTCTGGCTCCCACCCCAGAGCCCTGGAGAAAATAATTTAAAATTAGCTTTGGCTGATGTCCAAGGTCTCCCCAAATGGGAGTGTGTTCAGTCATGGGTGCCATGATTTAAAACTGTTGATAAGTTGGAAAGTGTCCAGAGGAGGGCTACCAGGATTGTGAAGGGCCTTGAGTCTGTGTTATATGAAGATTAGTTGAAGGAACTAGGCATATGTAGCATGAAGAAGACATAACTCAGTGGAACATGATAGCTGTCTTCAAGTATTTGAAGGGCTGTCATCTGGAGGAGGAACTAGTCTCATTGTTTAGCTCTAGAGGGCAGAACCAGAACTAATAGGTAGAAGTTGAAAGAAGTTAAGTTTAGGTTTAATGTCAAGAAAAACTTCCTCCCAGTTAAAGCTGTCTAAAAGTGGAATGGGCTGTCTGGAAAGGTTCTGGGTTTCCTCCCTCTCCTCTTGGAAGTCTTAAAGCAAAGGGTGAATGACTACTTGTTCAAATGGCACCAACAGAGGGGCCCATACCTCTTCAATTTACAAAGCTGTCTCCAAGACTGGAAATGATGATCTCAGACTCACTTAAGCTTAAGAAGGAAACATGAAGAAAAAGAAGTAATTATCAAGGGCTTTGTGATCTAGCCTTAAGCTCATGTAGGCCAGCATATGTTCTAGCTGTTATGAACAAGCATTATAAAAATTAAGTTTGACAGTTCTTCATCAGAAATTTTGGAAGAGAGAGGTCTAGAGGCTAATTCACTTTAAGGTTTATTGAATAGGCCTTACAGTTCTTGGCTTAGTGGCAGGCCCTCTCTGATACAACTTTGACACAGCTAACCTCTTGTCACCAAAGGAACACCCAATATGTTCTGTATCATCCCAAAGTGCCATACCTTTCTGCTGAGCCAGAACATCTGTGGCCCATTGGAGGGTGCCCAGTTCCAAAGATGCCCCATGAAATGTAGTCTAGCCAGAACCATTGAAGTTGGGGAGATTTCCCTTCAGTTGTATTCAGTCTTTTTCCACCATGACCCCATTTTGGGATTGTTGTTATTTTTTTTTTCAATTAGCTATTTAACCTTGGGCAGAAAGGTTGGGGATTCGGTTCTCAGTTCTACTTTGCCCCTTCCTCAGGCCCCACCAGGACAGAATCCTAGATCCCTACAGGCACTAGTCTATACTCCCATTCCTTTATTGTCTTCCCCACCACCTACCCTATGTCCCTCTTTGACTCATGTTCCCTGACCACAAGTGTAGCTTATACAGTGTTTGCCTCCGTGTCCTCCATGTATGTCCTCCTGGGGAATATTTTTGTCAGTCATTTTGCTACACTGTTTAAATGCCTTTTGCTTTGAACTAACAAGTTCTTTCAACAGCTTAATAAAGGAAGACAAGGAAAGTATAAGAGCAGCTAGGTGGCACATTGGACCTACCTGTTGAAATCCAGCTTTAGATTATTACTAGTTGTGTGACCCTGGGCAAGTCACTTAACCTCAATTTCCCCATCTATAAAATGAAAAGAATACTATCAATAACCTCCCAGGGTGGTTATAAGGATCAAATGAGATAATATTTGTAAAGCATCTGGTGCTAAATAAATGTCAGCTATTATTAATATTACTAAAGTTGCACTAAGACTTTTGGGACACCTTGTATTATAATCTGCATAACTAAAAGAAAAATGATAAACATAATTTCAATATAATGAATATAGTAATTCACAATGTTGAACATAAAATGGTGAAAATAATAATGAATATATTATTTACAGCCAAAAAAGATGAACACAATGATAAATGTAAAATTACAAAAATAATTACTATATTATTTATAGCCAAAAGAATATTATATACATAATTTGTATTAATACTTAATATATAATCAGATGTAATATGATGAACAAGTAGAATGATTCATAATGAAGAAAATAAAATAATGGTTAAAATAATAATGAATATATTATTTGTAGCAGACAGAAAAATGATTACTATAATAATTGAATGCAGCAGCTAGGTGGCACAGTGGATAGAGCACTCTTTGCCTGGAGTCTAGAAGACTAATATTCCTGAGTTCAAAGTTGGCCTCAGATACTTACTAGCTATGTGATCCTGGGCCAGGCACTTAACCTGTTTGCCTCAGTTTCCTCATCTGTAAAATAAGCTGGAGAATGAAATGGCAAACCACTCCAGTATCTTTGCCAAGAAAATCTGAAATGGGGTCAGGAAGAGTCAAATACAACTGAAAATGAATTAACAATAACAATAATAATTGACTATAATGAATGGATGAATAGAATTAATAATGATGAATATAAAAATAGTGATGAAAATAATGAATATATTTATGACTTTTAAAATGATGAATAATTAAGTATAATGAATGGATTTAATTCATAATGCTGAATATAAAATGAAAATAATAAACATTATAGCTAAAAGAAAAACGATGGATATAATTGAATATGACATAATAGAGTATAATTCATAATGATGAATATAAAATGATGAAAATAATAATGAACATATTACTTATGGCTGAAAGAAAAATAATGAATAGAATGAAATATAATAAATGCAATGAGTATAAAATGAAAATAATGAATATATATTTATAGCTGATAGGATAATAATGACAATGTGATTGAATATAAGGAATATATTCATAATGATGAATACTAAAATGATGAAAATAATATTTATAGCTGAAAGACGAATAACTGAATATAATGAATGAACGTAATAATTCACAATGATCAATAGGAAAATGACCATTATTTCTGGCTGAAAGAATGATGATGGCCATAATGACATATTATGCGTTATAAGTAACTGAACAGTTAACATCCCTCGGAGCACAGACGGCCCGCGGCTCCACCCCACAGAGTAGGCACCCCACAAGGGCAGGCCCTGGCTAGCCTTTGGTTGACCCTCCCCCTCCGCGTGCACTAGCCCCGGGGGGGGGGGTCGCGGGGAGTTCCCGAAGGAGAGGCCCAAGGGAGTCCACCTAGGAGAAGACCTCCGGCGTTCCTAGAGAGCAGAGGAAAGAAGTCTGCAGGGCCCTCGGCTGCGCTTTGGGCCTGCCCATTGTACCCGAAGTGCCCGGGGGGGGGGGTCCCTCGGAACTGGGGGCTCCCTGCCTCTGCTCCAGGGGTTCTCGCAGCCGGTGAATAGCGAGGTCTCGGACCTGGGGCCGACGGGGTCGAGGCAGTGGCAACCCCCAGGGGATTTCCTAGCCCGAAGGCGAGGTCTGAGGGCTCCCTCCATCATCCCTAGGACTACGGCTAGGCGGGGGGGGGGGGGGGGGGGGGGTGTTGCTGATGGGTCGCTGGGGAACCTTGCTGACTGGAGGGGAGGAGCTCTGGGAGGAGCTACTCCCCCTTCCTCCCTGCCCCCTTCACGTGGGCCTCTCCACCCGCCAATCCTTTTTGGGCGGGGTAATCCCGGCCCCCAGCCAAATTGTGCATAATAATAGTAACTATAATTCACTTTTCTCTTGGATTGTAAAATTCACCCAGCAACCCTTCGGGTTGGTGATGCAAGTATCTAAATTTTCCATTTGAGGAAACTGGGGCGGGAGGGGGGGAGGGGTAGAAATTATCTGGCAGACTCCTGGTCTCTTCTAACTCTCAGTCCAGCGCACGGTCCTCCACCACAGCTGACCACCTTTCCTCCCTGGGCACTTCAAACTGTCCAGAGTCCCAACCTGGGGCCCCTTCCTAGTAGTGGCTAACGCTCCAAAGTTCATCCTCGTTCTCCCCTGCTATCGCA